TGTGGCCTCCCTAATTTGCTGAAGCTGGCTCAAACTTCTAATCCTTTTGCCTCAGCCCCACAAGTTGCTGGGATTACAAGCATGCACAACAACAGCTAGTCCAAACAGATATTTTTAGGGACTTCCTTCTGCAGAAACCAGCAGGACCAAGAAGCAGATGCCTTCATAAATGGGGACTTGAGGGGGCCATTGTATATGCTGAGGTCTGTGTACAAAAGTCTGGACTTCATTCAGAGCCATGTACTTTCAGGCACTAGGGAAGAGGATTATGACACAAAAGTTGGGGGAGTTTGCACTGGAGGCTTTGCCTCTCTTCATCTAAGCTGGCCTTATATCTATATGGGCATAAGCCCTGCTGCTTCACTAGAGCCTGGCTAGTCCAGGGCCCAAAAGGTCACGGGTTTTTTTTTGTTTGTTTGTTTTGTTTTGTTTTGTTTTTATTCCCTCTAGCCATTTACTTTTATCCAGACCTGTTTTTTTTTTTTTTTCTTTATGCCATTGCTTATGCTGTCCATCTTCTTAAACATTTAGGGTGATGGGGTACTGTCATAGGGAAAATGGCTTTGCCTTGGGGATGAGTGTCTTCTGAGCAAATGAGTTGTCCTTGAAATCCCAAAGCAGGGACCATCCCTTGTCCCCAAGTCATAATTTAGTGGTTACAACACCCCCTGCCATGTCTTTTTTTTGGTGTGTATGTATCTTTTCCCAGCTTAGGCAAAGGAGGCTGAAGACATGGCATAGGCCACATCCTCTTCACTTACTTCTCTAAACCCCAGAAGCTTATCTGGGATTTTTCTTCTGACATAGGGCTGGTTTTTCTGACCCACAGTGGGTTGATCTGCAGCTGCCTGGGACTGGGCTGAGAAACAGTGCTGGGCACACTTTTGTTTTCTGGTGTCTTGCTATCCTTGCACACCAGAGGCAGTGCCTTTCTACACCACCATCTTGTTTCAGGCCACTCAGACTCCTCATGCAACTGCGTGAATACCTGCACTTATATTATTTCTTCTATTTACCTATCTCTGACAGACCAATTCCAATAGCAAGATCATAATAATTAAGAAAGTCATTCAGTGATCTGATGGTTACAGTAAAACATCAGCTATTTTTGTACTGGCTTATACCTAGTTTTGGCCCTCTCAGACAGGATTTTTCTCAAGAGTCTGCAGGTGAGATCAATGCAGCATTGCCCATGTCTTATAGGGCCAGCAACATTCAATCAAAAGCATGGAGACAACCAGAAGAGATCCCCAAACTAGGACCAACAGAAGGGAGCCTTTAAAACAGAGCTGACAGGGGGAAAATCTCCTAAGTTTCCTACTCTCATTGAAGCACAACTCTGACACCAATGATCCCATAGATGTCCCCAGGGATCAGGATTTTTCCCCCATAGGGGGCCAGATGTGTGGAATCAAGGGTCTCAGTGTGCACACTTGGGGAGCTTGTTGGATGTCCAATTTGGCATCACTTTACTGCATTTAGTTTCCTTTTTTCTATAGTAGACCCAAGGTGGAGCAACCCACAACATTCAGGGAGAGAATCAAGAGATCCCAGAAACCAAGGAGCCTTGGCAGCTTCTGGGAAGGCCGCTCAGACCCTCTCTTTATTTAAAAAAACAGCTCCTCCAGGACAACCTGAGACAAACTTACCTGTCTCTTAATTCTCCACACTCAACTGTCAATGAGATGATCAGCCACCTTGTATCCTCAGTGTGGATGTGAGATTACTCACAGTGCCAGACCTACCTAAGAATGCTTGAACAGGTCACTGTTGGTTTTCTTCATACAACCAAATTTGATAATGAGAGCTTGGTCCTTGTCTCCAAAGGTATAGGACAGAGTAGGATTTTAGTAAAGGAAGTCAGCCTTACATTACTGTATTTAAATGTTTTTTTTACCTTTCTTCTTCAGAGTCTTCTTTGGGTTTTTTCCATGGCTCTGTATTTTGGGAGTGATTTCAAGTGAAATTCCAGGGTTTAGCTTTGGAAATTCTACCAGAAATAGTAAATAGGGAAAATATCTCTCCCATTGTGGCTGCAGAAAAAAAATGAATACAGTTTTAAAAAATTGAGGGGCAGCAACATAGTTGAATTTCAAATTTACCAAGTTATCAGCTTCTTATCCATGAAAGCCTGTGACTGTCAATAAGTCATTGATCTGGGTTTTTGAGCTTAATACTAAATCATGTGATATAAGTTTTGGCAAATCCTAGAGTCATTTATATGATTTACTTTTTAGCACATTATTTGTTATCATGAAGATAGCAACAAAATTTTACTTTTATTTTCTGAAAAAGATGGATGCTTTTGTTTTTCCCTCTTGAGGAATGAAATATAAGTGCTTTACACATTTGTTGCCTCCTGTAGACATAAACACTGAGTTTTGCCAGGCATGGTGGGTAGTGCATGTCTAAGATGCCATCTTCTCAGGAGGCTAATGCAAAAAAAGATAACATTTGGAGATCAAACGTGGAAGCTTAGGGAGAATGTGTTTTAAAATAAAAAGTAAAAATAACTAAATGTAAAATGAATTTTATTACAACTATGAATGTTGCTACTGGTAAATCTGTATATATCCCCTGGATCCCAGCAACCACTGGTACAAAACAAAATCCTACTGAGTGTGAATACCTTTACCATTAAGTAATGGGTCCTTTCTCATCTAAAACTAAATGAATAAAATTGGGAAACATAGAGATCTGAGCTCTGTGACTTGTAGTTAAGTTAATCTTGAGGCTACCATAAAAGGTCTTTGTGACCCATGTATTTTGTTTCTTGAGACCCATGTATTTTGTTTCTTGAGACCCATGCATTTATGGGTTTGAATTGTAAGCAGTCATTCCTGAGAAGGAAGTTTAGAGAAGGAAGAGAACAATGTAGTTGGTTTCCAGGTAAGTGGTCCACATCAGGTGTGGCATTGTATTGTTCTCCCAAACTACCTTATATTTGAAATATGCACACCTGTAATTTTCTATCAATCAGGTTTGTGTTTAACATGTTTTAGCCACTTTGATTCCTTCTCTTCTCATGGTAAACAACATTATCTGTTTAAAATATATGTGCGCATATATACCCCCTATACCAGGAGCCTTCAGTTCTTACACTTTCGTCTAAGCCATGCCAAGCCTACAGGATTGAAAAGATTTTCTTTTTGGTAAATGGATATTGGAAAATCTTGGTATCCTAGATTCCTATTGGACATGTTTTGGGGTCATTAGATGTTGCTGAAGAATGGAACCATGCTTTGTTTACTTTCCATCTGGATGCTCCATCATCTCTACATACACAGTGTTAGTAAAATGTACATTAGTTTCCCCTAAGAAATTAGTATGTCCTGAACAAACAGAATGATTAGAAATGACTCAATCTTTAGAATGCCAAAGAAAGTCTACTGCAATTCTTATTATGTCATTTTGTTTTGATGGCCACTGATATTACAGCACTGATGATATGACCTTTTATGTTGATGCAACTTTGTTAAAATTTGTTCTATTTGTTCTACAACTGTTTTAGCCTCATTTGCTTGGTATAAATGCTGTCAGCCAAATTAACTCCATAAAATTAATTTTTTCTGTTTGTAGGCATCTTGGTAGGATTTTTCTAAATAATCTACTTGAACAATCATATTTGATCCAGAAACTCTTTTTTTCTGAGTAGTTTTTCCTTATGTTTTGCTTTGGGTGAATATAGCCTCTGCCTTTTGTTTACCAGAGTACTGACTTTATTACTGGAGCTCCCGAAGCAGACCACGGTCTTGTAGGCTTTCATTTTATTCTACCTCCAGCTCACAGACCTAAACCTCATAACCTCCTTGCATTTTCTGTGAATGAGACAAGAGTTATATCTTTCCAGTTGTCTGAAAATTACAAAGTATACCTCAAAATAAAATTTCAACAACAGGGAAAAAATGAAAAGACCAAGTAAATGTAGCTCTTATTTTATTTACTATCTTTAATTATCTGTATCTCAATAGTGTCTTTTAAAATAGCATCCATCCCAAATTAGTTTATATGTGTTACAAAGCAGAATATGCTTCTTATTTTAATTTACATGAAAAATTGTTTTTAATGTGTGAAGTTGACATTTCTGTATGTGTGTACGTGAAACCTAAATATCATTTGATCAATCTGATCATGTTTCTTCTTGAATACTTTCATTAGTCTTCTCATTTGTAATCACTGCCATGCTATAAAAATTCTTCTTCTAACATTCACATTTTGTCTTGACTTTAATACTCCTTTTTTTACTGAGTTACAGGCCAAATAAACTTGGGTAAAAATCAGGCTCTACCATTTACTGGATATTTGACAAATGTGATAAAGGAGGAGTACCACTACAGCTATCACATCTTTTGGGTTTCTGCATTAAGACATGAAGTATGTATTTGAAATAGCTAAAAAGGATTGTTGCTGGTAATTGGTATTCTAATAAAAGTACATAAATCCCTTAAAATACTTGAACTCAAATTCATTAATTATTTTTTTTCCTATAGTGGGATACCTAATTGCTATTCAAGAGTGTCTCGGCCCTCTGGCACTAATATCACTAGATTGGAATACTGTACATATTCAGAAAACCAGTTCCCATCCAATAACCACTGAATCAGAGTCTGCATTTTAGTAAATCTCTGATTTATGGTTATATACTTAATATTTTAATGTTATTACCTTTTTTACCATAACTTTCTTGTCTGAGAAGTAGACAATTTATATTATATATTAAATCTCAATTAAAATGTATATTCTTGTGTTAATGCCTTAAGTTTACATTTTATTTTATAAAAGTGGAGTATATTCACTTGGGGTGGGGGGCTATTGACACTCTTATGTCAGTGTTAAATAATAGAGAATATCACTGTTACAATGTATTTTCTTGAATAATTAAAATCACCCACTTTCTTGACAGCAGTTCTACTAACTCTCATTTCATCTTCAGTCAGCTTTGAAGCTCTGTGAATGATCAAATGGTCAATGTGCTATTAATTGACTTATTCTTATTTCAGGAACTGTTGACATTCGGGGATGTGGTTATTGATTTCTCTGAAGAGGAATGGGAATGCCTGGAGCCTGCTCAGCAGAATTTATACAGAGATGTGATGCTGGAGACCTACAGAAACCTGGTCTTCCTGGGTGAGCAGAGCTTCCCTTCAGCATTCCTAATTATATAGTTTTCTTCCCTTGCAGAATATCTTTTGGGAGATTCTTTTTTTTCATTAATGAGTTTAAGATTTTTGCCTTCAAGAAAAAGGATTGGGCAGTTTGTTCCATTTCTTTTAGTCCTTTATCTCTTCATTTCTTGAGGTGATATATACCCTTCACTTTAGATTAGTGCTACTTACAGTAATTCAGTGATATACAATGATTTAACCTACGTGTCAAAGTATAATTTTTTCCCTTTGTGGTATCATCAGTACTACTATTAAGCATCAGTAATCACAGGAAGAATTCAATGAACACATCTTATTATCTCTAAGCTCTATTTGGGCACCCTCCTCTGGAGCAAAGGAGAGAGCCCTGAGCCATACATATTCCCAAGTGGATAGAAATTCAAGAAGCAGAGGACACAGGTAAGAGATCCAAAAGCCAAGGAGGAAGCCAAACTTCCAAATGATGGTGGAGAAGTTATTATGCCACAGAAATTGTTTTCCAGAAGCTTATGTTTATCTCTCTTGTTGTTCTAGATGCTCTGTGTTTAGCATGCTTTCAACTTCTTTAGTCTCCTCTTTCTCCTGGGTTGATGTCCCAATATGTTCAAATTAATTGCCCAAACAGTCTCTTTTGTTTGTGAGGTCAGCATCATCTGATGGCATTTTCATTATTTGGTGGAAGTCTCTCAGAAATCCATGCACGTTTCTGGAGACCTCTACATGGAGCAATTGTAATATATTAGTGTCATAAAGCAGATTCTCTAATATTACATATTTATTTATTACGTATTTATTTATTCATTGAAATTGCCTTATTAGAGCGCCTTTGAATATTATAATGGATTTCCTGCAGATTTTTTTTTTTTTTTTTTGGCGATATAATGAATGTCAGTGCTTTACAATGGCTGCTTACTTTGGGTAAATAGTCATAGTTGAAAATTGTAGTTATATAGGAGTTTATAAAATAATACATCCATGGTTATTCAGAATTTTGTTAGTTAAATTTCTTTTTTCTTTTTTTTCCTTCTCTGTGTTTTATTTTATAAGATAATTTCATGTTAAAGTGCAGGTTTCCTCACATCAATCAGTAATGCTTTCATTTTTTTACCTACATTTATGATTTTATGGCAGTTTCCAATATTTCACAAATTAGGGCAGTGTGAGATGAATTAAAATATGCCTGTTCCTTTTTTCTGTTGCCAATAAAATTAAGTTTCTTTCTTATTTTTTATTTTTGTTTATATTGCCAATAAAATTACTTTGGGGATAAAATGTATTCCTAAGTTTTTGTTTTAAAGTATGTTTTGTACATGATAATTATTGCTACATCAGGTTTTGGTCATTGTTGTGTAATATTTTTATTTGCTTTTGCCTTCACATTGTATCCGTAGATTTCGGAGTCTCCTGTAGACTGCATATAGTTTTTTTGTTTTGTTTTGTTTTGGGGTTTTTTTGGTAAGTTTCCCTTGCTTCTTTTATTTCTTTTATCTTGTTTTCTTATTGCTTTAACTTGTGGTCCACTGATTTTTATGGTGAAATTCTTTGATCTCTCTTTCACTTCACTTCATTCTACGTATATTTGTTTTATCATTTACGTTGGGATTTTATAAAAGTCTTTAAAAATTATACTATATTTTAAACTGGCAATAAATTAACTTCAATTTTATGACAAAATTTAGTATATTTATATGTTCTTTTAAAATTATTTTATTGATGGCACAGTTATGTTTTTAGTTTTTATTTATTTTTTTGTTATAGTTGTTGTTGATGGGCCTTTATTTTATTCACTAACTTATATGTGGTGCTGAGAACCCAGTACAGTGCCTCACACATGCAAGGCAAGCACTCTACCACTAAGCCGCAACCCGAGCCCTGGCATAGGTTTTTTTTTTTTTAATTGCATACACATTAAAGGTTTATGATGATTTTTTTTTGTCTTACAAATCCTATGGAAAAGGTGTTTTATGATACATCATTCCAGTAAAAATGAATTGTATATTGCTATATGACTTTTTCTTGCCAGTAAATCTTTAAAATTTCATATGACTCATGTTTTTGTGCACATTTATTTTATTTTTTAATATGAAATATTCATATTGTATTAACACCAGAAATAATTAACCACTGAGCAACATTCCAAGCCCTTTTTTTGTTTTTCATTTTGAAACAGCATCTCACTAATTAACTTATGGCCCTACTAAGTTGCTAAAGGTAACTTTGAATTTAGGATATTCATGCTTCAACCTCTCAAGTTGTGGGGATTCCAGACTTGTACCCCCACACCTAACTAATGTATTGTATTCTTGATGAATGGTAGTAGAATAATTGCAATGTTTTCTAAGCACTAAAATGATAATTATATGAAATAATAAATTTGACAATTAGCTAGATTTAGTCATTTCTTTCTTTTTTTTTAATTTACTTTTTAGTTCTAGGTGGACACAATATTTATTTGTTTTTAATTTTTATGTGGTGCTGAGGATCGAACCCAGTGCATCATGCATGCTAGGTGAGTGCGCTACCACTGAGCCCCAGCCCCAGCCCCTAGATTTAGTTATTTCATCATGTATTTATATTTTAAAATACCAATACTTAGTAAATAATGAAATTTAATTTGTCAATGAAATGAATCAGTAAATAACCAAAATCACAAAACTTAAAAAGCAAGGCTGCTACAGCTGCTGCCATGTGAAAGCCTGGAGGTCCATTCTTAGGGTGCCTGCAGGTTTCCTTGCACCCAGCCTCTTCTCTCTCGGGACACTGGTTGTTTTAGTCAGCTATTTTGCTGCTGTGACTAAAGGACCTGACCAGAACAACTTCAAGGAGGAAAGGTTTGTTTGGGGGCTCATGGTTTTAGATGTCTTAGTCCATAGAAGTCCAGCTCAGTTCTTTGGATCTTGAGGTGAGGCTGAACATCATGGCAGGAAAGGAGAGCAGAGGGAAATGGCTCATATGGTGATCAGAAAGCAGATACAATACATGCTCCAAAGCATGCCCTGATTCCTACCTCCTCCAGCCCATTGTATCATTTCAGCTACCACTGGAAGTCTGATATCAGGGTGCCAGCAAGTTTGCTGTTGCCATCTTGAGTCCCAACCACCTACATCTGGGGACACAGGCCTGGAGGACCCAAATCAAAGTGCCTTGAGGTTTAGTTGTAGCTGAGATCTTACTGTATGTGCTGGTGGCCACAATCTTACTGCTGCATCACATGGTCACATCTTTGTGTGTAAATTAAAACAACATTGAGATCATGGGTCTGCAACACAGCAGAGCCTAAAGAAACTGAAACCCAGATCTGTGAGTTTACAGCTAGATCTGCTTGGTCCAATCTGAGTTAGCAATCCTGTGGAAAGGTCAGAAACTGGGAGTATTTTACTAAGGGGAATCACAGGTTAGAGAGGCCAGAGAGAGCAAGGCTGTCCCCAGCTCCATGAGTCCTAAAGTATGTGGGGATAGACAAGGTTGGCTATAATGGATCAGAAGTTTGATAAAGGGTATTAGGGTATCTTGCTATCAGCTTGCTGAGCCAGCCAGTTTAGCACCCACCAGACCAGAGCTACCATCAATCTCCAGACTACCACACATATCGGCTGAGAAGGAAAGCTAAAAAACTTGAACTCCAAGGGAAACAGTTGTTCAATTTTTCATTGAGAAAAATTTTTAAATTATTATTTCTTTCCCTTTTACTTCTCTACCATTTTTAAAACCAAGAATTTTTATGAATCAGTTTATTGAGGACTGGGATGTCTGAATAGTATATTACAGTTTTCTTCTGTATTTTTATATTTCTCTCTCTCTCTCTCTCTACTCTGTATATATTTTTCCTCTCACTTATCTGTCTCCCTGGAATCTTTCTTTCTTTTCTACTTTTAACAGATAGCCTCTATTAATACCTCTTTCACTCTTTCTATGAATTTTTACTTCTAACTTCTCTTTTCCTTCCTCCTAAACATATCCTACCATTTCTCTCTTTATCCACCAGTTGAAATTGTAAAACCTTTTTACAAACTTACAGTTTATACTATGAACAATAATTGAACCATTATTTCTGCTTATTGTGACAAAACTCTAGATGTCTTAATAGGAGCTATTTTGTTAAGAGGCTGCATATGGTTTGCATTGGGTGCTGTTAATATTGTTCTCTCCCTTAAAGGCAAGATACTGGACACTGTACTGCCTCAGATCCGTAGTGCTAACTGGGAAGACATAAAAACAACATGAAAAAAACAAGGGAACAAATTGCCCCAAACAAACCACCATGCTCCAGTAACAGAATCCATTGACAACACAGTAAAAGAAATATCAAAGAAGGAGTTTAGAATGTACATAGTTGGACTGATCCACAATGTAAAGGTGATGCAAAGAGTGAAATCAGAGATAAATTTCAGATGATGAAAGATCACTTCAATAAAGAAACAGATTTTGAAAAGAAATCAAGCAGAAATCCTCAAAATGAATTTTAAAACCCAAGGAAAAATTAATGGAAAGTACCCACCAACAGATGAAGAGAAACTATATCACCTTGAAAATTAACCATGCAGAGAAGATATGAGAAACCATGAGCATAACTTCCAAGAATTATGGGATAACATTAAAAGACCAAATTTAAGATTTATCAGGATAGATGAAGGTGCAGAGATACAAACTAAAGGAATGCACAATATTTTCAATGACATAATATCAGAAAATTTCCTAAACATAAAGAATGAAATGGAAAATCAAATACAAGAGGCTTACAGGACCCCAAATGTACAAAATTACAACAGACCCACACCAAGTCACATTATGACTAACATAAAATATAAAGATCAAATTTTAAAGGCCATGAGAGAAAAATATCAAATTATATATAGGGGCACAACAGTTTGGATTTCAGCTGACTTCTCAACCCAGACCCACTAAACCTAAGTTTCAGATTTGAAGATGAAATAAAAACCTTCCATGATAAACAAAAGTTAAAGAATCTATAACTTTTTAAAA